CGCAAGCTGGTCAAAAAAGATTAGCTTCAGGAGAGGTGCTGTTATACTCGGACCATGAAGAAGAAAATGCCTCACACACACACAAGAAGTTACACTGATGCTATCCAAACAAGTACAAAAGACACTTATAGGAGGGGAGTCACATGAACTCAGGATTATCAAAGCATCCTTCAAAATGGACAAAGAGGGCATTACATTGAACATCATCGAATGCTATTCTCCTACCAACGATTACAGTGAAGATGGCAAAAATCAATTCTACGAGAGGCTGTAGTCAATTGTCGAGAGATGCTCACCAAAGGATTTGACGATTCTGATTAGAAACCTAAATGCCAAGTTTAGCATGGACAAAACTGGATAAACATCATGGGACGATATGACCTGGGAGAAAGGAACGAAAACGGTGAGAGATTTGCAAACCTATGTGCCTTCAACAAACTGGTCATCGTCGGCACAATATTCCAACATAAACACATACACAAATATACATGGATTTCACCGCATCACATCACTCAGAAACAAATCGTCCATATCTGCATCAATAAAAAGTTCAGAAGGACCATGGAGGATGTGAGAACCAAGAGAGGAGCTGATATAGACTCAGTACACCACTTACTGGTCGCCAAAATGAAACTGAAGCTAAAGAAGCACTGGACAACGGGGCAGACAACATCACAGAAGTTTAATACGGCCTTTCTTCGGGATACCGTAAAACTCAACGAATTCAAGATAGCCCTCACCAATAGGTTCCAGGCCTTTCAGGATCTACTCAATGGAGAGGAAGCAACATTGGAGAACAATTGGAAAGGGATTAAGGAGGCAATCACTTCAACATGTCAGGAGGTCCTTGGTCGCAAGAAGCACCATCACAAGGAATGGATCTGTGTTGGTACTCTTGCAAAAATTGAAGAAAGGAGGAACAAGAAGGCAGCAACCAACATCAGCCAAACAGGAGCAGAGAAACCCAATGCACAAGCTGAATACTCAGAAGCAAACAAGCGAATAAAGAGGGACATCAGAGCCGACACACTTGAATATGTGGAAGATCTAGCAATGACGGTGGAAAGGGTTGAAAGAGAAGGAAGCTTCAGACAACTGTACGTTACATCAAAGAAGCTCGTTGCAAACTATCGTAAACCAGAACGACCAGTAAAAAGCAAGGAAGGCAAAGTAATCAGCAACACTTAAGTACAGCAGAACAAGTAGGCAGAGCACTTTAAGGAACTGTTGAATCGACCAGCTCCATTGGACCTACCGAATATCGAAGCAACATCCACGGTGCTCACGATCGATATTGGCCTATCAACGATTGAGATCAGCATGGCTATCATACAAATCAAGAGTGGCGAATTAGCCGGATGAAAAAACATTCAAACAGATGCAATGAAAGCAGACGTGGCAGCAAGAGCAAAAATATTATACATTCTCTTCAACAAGATTTGGGATGATGAACAAGTACCAAGAGACTGAAAACAAAAATACCTGATCAAAATACGAAAAAAAGGTGATCTCAGCAGAACTACAGAGGCATCACTCTTCTCTCAGTACCAGGTAAAGTCTTCAACAGGGTATTGTTAAACAGAATTAAAGATTCAGTAGACGCCTAACTTCGATACCAATAGGTTAGTTTCCGTGATGCTCGATCATATACCGACCAAATCACTAGTTCTTCCACATATTTACGTTTATCGTCTCTAATGCTCCTTTTCGCCTGCTTGTTTGCTTCTGCGTATTCTCTCTGTACCTTTTTTTCTCTACTCTTGTTTGGCTGTCTTTGATTTCTGTCTTTTTCTCCTTGAGTCTGGTTCACATAATCAACAGGGACCCATTCCTTGTGATGGTGCTTCTTGTGGCACTGAATACAACCTCAAATATTTTTGGTTAAAACTAAAATAATATTCATTAATATCTAATAAAATATACTGTTAATTAATCTCTAAACATACAATAATCACATTACCTTGGATTTCATTCAAAAATAAAGAAATTTTTTGGGTAATGCTGATGTTTAAGGAAAATTAGGTTATGAAGAAAACACGAACGATTCATTTGTTTCAATTACTATTTTTTAACAACACACTTAGTACTTATTCATGTATAATTTATCTATCATATTGTATTACATTCTAAGATTGCCTTATGATGAAATGATAATATTCTTTGATACACTCTGAAAATATGAATACAATTAGTTTTGCATACACTTTCTAGAATATTTGTTTCATTATGTTAATCAGTAAGAGGAATAAGTTACATACAAACAACAATTACGATATGAATTAATGATTTTCTCTGAATGCATAGTTTAGTATACTTCCCTATACTTTAAATAAAATAAACCAATTCATATATTACTGTTTATTTTTAATAGTTCTTGTCTCAATGAACTAGTAATGTTGAGAGTTTATATTTATTTATCTACACACAATCGTAAAGTGTTTATTGTCTAGTTAAAAATTATCTTATAATATTTCCTGTAGAAATAGTGACAAATTAATTTAAAGTACAACACAGGTATACTTAATGAAATTTTTATTACCAAATGAAGTGGATTTTAGCCAGCATAGATAATAAATCCTGATTAAAAAAAATTTTTTAAAGGCAACTGATTATTTTTACAATATTAGGACACTCCATTAAGTAATAAATGAGGAAAAAACTGATTGGATTCAGTATACAGACACTGTTGTGAAAGTATCATTAAAACTAACGGCAAGTTGGTCTATAACTCCATTATTCATTTACAATATTGCTATAGTTGGGACCTTGTGACTCATTAATCCTAACTTAGGTAAAGTTTTGTATCGAAACTGAAAAATAGGAAAATTTTCTGATTAACACATATATAATCATTCGCACAACAAGACTTCAAAACAATACACTAAACATAATTCAACTAACTATCAATTTAAAGTTGTGGAGACTGTTGAGCTTCGTTGAAATCATGAACCGATTGATGTTAGAGAGTCATTGGAAACCTGGAAGCTCTGGATGGTCATTTCCTCCTATTATGGGACTGATCAACAGTGTGCATCCATGAAACCGCACACAGGAATCGATGGTCTAACGTTGGTCGATTTATGATTTCAACGTAATTCAACTCAACTGAATAGTGTGCCAATGGATTTAAATCATTTACTTAAAATCACTGTTGTATAATTTGAAACTGAGTATTGTCTTATGGGTAAGATAATCAAACGAGTCACATAGAGTCAAATGATGTTTTTACATGTCGTCCTTTATACAACTTAAAATCGTATCAACAGCTTTACTGACAAGTCTAGTGACAAGGTTCCACCAACCAGACAAACAATTCGCAGTCAAATTAATTAATTCCTGTGAGATGATGTGGCGAAAGAATACTGTTATATTTTCAATTTGTTAATTATCGCTATAAGCAAGTTCAATAAACTAATAAATTTTAGGAATAGATTAATTTGATATATAATGAAGGGATAAAGTCAGAAATTAAATAACCTTAGTGAAATAAAGAGAATTTATTGCATGAGCAAGAAGCATGTGTCAACAAAATACGGATAAACATATTTTGTTATAACTAGTGAGCTGATATCTGAAGACTCCTGACATGAGTTTCGAAAGGTCGGTTGACGTTTGCTAACTTAATTTGCCTATGGCATAGGTGAGATGTTTAGTTGACAAACAAAAAGCATGCATACTACATATATATTACGGCTTTCAAATATGGATTTTGAACTTAGAAGACATGTGTAGGCTGCAAGTTTTGATTATACGTAACCTCGGAGTATCGCTTGAGTATCATAGAACGACTTACTGAGTGAAAGAGATTGAACTTAGGTATATAAGTAATAGGCAAAGATGGAAAACTGGGTGATAGGATTCTGAATATTTACTGTATTACGATTACCATTTCCAATAAACAGCTAACTTACTAGTATATCTAAGATAATTTTCCTCTTGATTAACTACAGAAATGATTTCTTTTATATGATTAGAAATGAAACATATCGTTGAATGAGGAATGTAATATTTCATAATCAACTTTGTGTACTACGAAATTAATTGAAATACCGAATCATTTAGTTAGTTTTCTTAGATTTTAATAAATTATTGCTTTTACAGATTTTCTAAAAATACTACCATGCAATGTTGCGTTATTTCAGCATATTACATCGAAAACTGGTCGTAACTTCTAAATGAATTCAAATCTTAACCGCAGTAGATTTCACTTAGTGCTAAGCCCCAATTTCATTAAGTCTTATACATATGACAAAGTGAACCAGACACTAGTATTTCCTCATTTTCATTGATTGTCTTATAGATTTCTAATAACATACAAAACTTTTCTTGATATATATATATATATATATATATATATATATATATATATATATCAGGTTAAAATCCTACATTCATTCAGTTATTATATACACATTTTCCTTGCTTACATTTCTATGCCTAATTTATCTCACAGACTGAGTCAGATTAGTAATAACGTGAGATTTTATAGTAACATTTATGTTTATACTTTCTATTTCTTATCTAATCTAAGAAAAAAATTGTATTTCTGTGCCAATCAAATCCAAATGGGACAGAAAAATAATCAAATGACATCTAATGAAATTTTGGGTGTTTCCTAACTGACCTTTAGGCAAACAAAGTATACATATACAGATTTACATATAAACACAAAAAAAAACTGCACATTAATAATATGCAAACAGACAATTGTGGACATAATCTTAAATAGTTGTCTTTAACGGTGAACTGTTATATATATATATATATATATATATATATATATATATATATATATATATACATACATATATATATACATGTATGTACGTACATCTGTATATACCACCTTAGGTTACTTCTGGCAAACAACAAGAGAATATAATATCTCAGTTTATTACCTCGATAGACCAATACAGTAAGATAAATGGGAATATACAATAAACTTGACATATTATTGGTGACACGCATCGTCTTTCTTTTATGTTGTCTGGTTACTTAAGTGCGTTTATTTTTTTCACAAGTAGACATTATTCTGTTAAAATAGGATCATATCGAGAAATAAGTTTTTTTTTCCGGTGTTAACAATCATGACGGCACCTAGGAGGGTATTGGATGCTTTTTGATGGAATACTTTTAAATAAATTATCATATTGCCAACTAAACAGCTGTGTGTTAATTATTCATAATTCTCTTCGGATATTCATGAATTCGAACAAAATGTTGCAAAAAAAGTGATAAAAGGTAAGTAAGTATATTGAATGAACTATTAGTCAATAAACCCTATTAGTTTAACTAATAATATTGATTTTTTTTTGTTCACTGAACAAGGAAAATCGCATAACTATTGCATTGGCTTATAGTGGAAAGTTACCCAGCACAGTTAGAAATTTATGTTTTCTAACGGAACTGAACTAGTTAAAAACGACTAAGCTTAAATTCGACTTCTGGGACTAGTCACAATGACTGTTGTTTCATAGAATCTACTAAATTTAGGTCAATGAAACATTACCTAGTAGCTCAATGTTGTTATGTACTATTTTATACATAACTTTCTTTACGTCGATTCTCGATACAATGAACTAGAAAGAGCAGTGCTAAGCTAATCAAAATGATAACCAAAAAAAACTATTTAGTGTTGCTTACTTTTCAGAATTTTCTTCACATGTTTATCTGATCATAAAAAAAAATTTATGCTTCATAAGTGCTTCATGTTTTGTTGTTTTTTACTTGGTGTAGATTAACACACAAGTTTAAGAAATTACTACATTGTTTCCTGTGAATGGATTATTAGTTAAGCACCAGAAATCTCATATTGTTCAGAAGAAAATTCAGCCCAATTTAATTGTATACATGTTATTAGTTACATAAAGTGATTTATGAACTAATGATATTAGTAAAATTATTAAATAAACCAAATAATTGTATTCACAGTACTATTTTAAGGCAAACTACTAAGATTTAATTGGTTTTGCAATTAAACTAATCCTGTAAGTAATTTTCATTTAGGTTGGCAATGCATTAAATGTAATACCGAAGAAAATGTAAATAATGCAGATTTACTTAATCGCAGGTATTCGAAACAATACAATACCATTACTATTGCCTGTTTTTCGTTTTGAAACGTATATCTTAAATTCTGCTGGTAAAACGTTTGGTTACGACTCAGTCAAACAAACTTTCTGAATACTGTGTGTTTAATATGGCTTCATTTTTCGAAAATGAATGTTCACTAACACTTTCATTGTTAAGTCAAAAAAAAAATATTGAACAGTTTCTCTGGTTATAGTAGTTGTATTATTTACTGTGCTTATTCACTAAATCATATTTTGTTTATCTTAAAAAATATTATTTCTATGATAAAAATGATTTTTTTTAAAATTTGTATGTGATAGTTTACTGTATTAGCAAATTGCTAAAAATTTATATTAAGGCTATTTTATGTTAACATGTACTGGCAGTTTTATTGGGATTATATATCAGTCTAAGAACGCATAACCTTACAGCTAATCAAATCACTACAGTGAAAACCAAGTAAAACCTGGTGTTTATTTAGTATTTTATTATCCCTCTGTTTGAATGTGTATAAACCAAAACTTTATTGAGTGGATGAACTATGTCTAAAATAAATTCAAGATTATTCTTCAATGTTTACAGTAAACACTTGAGCTAATTAAGTTGGGATAATATTACTGTTTTGGCAATCAAGTGAAATTTTAAAGACAAGTGATAAAATCGGATGTTTTTAAGAAAAATGAGGTAAAACAACCAATCGATGATCTTCCAAACTATAAATTTATCAAGCTATGAATTAAGTTGGTTGTGAAACCGATGTATGATTTTAAGCAGAGATGGATAGTGTGTAAGAGCTGAGGCTCTCCATACATATATAGGTGGCGACATACATATATTATATATCCTACTACCCTCAGTAGAAAAAACCTAACTATTCATCTGACTTGAACCGTTTATCCGAGCTATCACGTCCGATCCCATTCAAATCTCACATTAATATCATACATACAAGTTCAACACTGTTTTCCACACCAAAAATGTCGAATTCTTCACACCTAGAACATACAAAAACACACAGACATGTCTCATAAAAACCACCTTGACCGGAGGGACATAAAGTTCACTAGATATTTTTGTACAGTAAAATTCTCATTTCTTCTATTTACTAAATATTTTTATTTCGTTTCTCTGTACTATTTATGCTTGGATTAATTTAATCTGTTTATTGATTCTCTGAAAAAGTGATTTACTCAGAGTCACAATGAGTTAGAAAATTCTAATTTTCCAATGCATTGGGATATTTCAAAAATATATTATTTTTATGATTAACAATCTACCAGATGCTAGATTTATTTACAATTATCAAGTCAAACCTTGATAATAACACCTACACACTCATGATATATGATCAGTAAAATTAAAATTTTCGATATTAAAAAATCTTACACATGCTGTTTTTGTCATTAATTATCTAAAACGATGTATAATCAACTTGTGTTGAATTGTGAGTTGTTTGTTTCATACACCGATAAGAATATCATGAAGTGGACGATATAAGTATGATATTACCCAACTACTTAGTCATAGAATTCCTAGTAAAATACGTTATTCACTGTTATGCTGTGATTCCTGAAATCTGAGTATCATAGGAAGCTACCTATAAACGTGATTAACACTCTGATAGTGTTGAAAGTCAGAAACTCATAATCTGGTTAATAAGTATCCGTTTTATTTCATTCACTGTCAAGGCCGCTCCATTACCGCTAATAATTCTACTACTATGGGATTCGAATTAACAATATGATCTCTCTGTGCTAATGCCTTATGCAACTTCAATTGATGTAAGTACGTACAAAGTTTAACATAATGTCTGACTAAGTGTTATGGTCAACTATAATACGAAAATAGAATGCAACGGATAGTAACAGCAATTTTTTACCCTGGTTTTCAACAAAATATCCGTATGATGTTTTGTGATCTATGATAAAAACATTTAGATTTAAATATCAAGTACCTTATTCTAGACAATTTTTCAGAAAGGTTTTTGAAATTACATGTATGTTATTCAGTCCAGAATGATTTATACCCACGGAATTATAAAACAGTTTATTGAACTAGAAATAAAGCTTTAACGACGAGTTCATTTTCAAACTGTCCAGTTACTAACACATGTTACCCATAATCTAGCATAAGCCAGTGGCCAGCATTCTCCAACCTATGCTGTTCTGGGACTTCCTTCCCAATTCTACTCAATTGTTATTCATTCATTCCATATCTGTCTCCACTTCTCGGCGCAGTGTGTTCCTTGATCTTCCTTATATACTTTGGCCTTGGGGCTTCAAAGTTAGGTCTTGCCTTGTGATGCAATCAGGTGATTTCAATAATGTATGTCCCACACACCTCCGGTGCCTTTTATTAATTTTTTCCTCTGCTTTGTTCTCATCCACAGTAGGTTGTTGCTAGTTGTGCCAGACCAACTGATCCCCAGTATCTTGCGTGGAAAACTATTGATAAACACTGGATTATGACTTTCGTAATTCGCCAAGTTTCAGCTCCATACAACAAAAGTGTCTTGACGTTTGTATTAAAAATTCTGACTTTAGTGTTCGTTGAAAGATATTTTTTGAGGTCCGGATGTTCTTCAGTTGTAGAAATGCTGCAACTGCTTTACTAATCCATGCCTTCACATCTGCATCAGATCCATCTTGCTCATCAGTGATGCTACCCAGATATATAGAGGTTTCTACATCCTCCTAAGCTTCTCCATCAAGTGTGATTTGGATGATGCATGTTGTGTTGAGTTGTGTGGAAGGTTCTTGCTATTTCCCTTGTTTATGTTGAGTCCTACTGTTTTGAAGGCTGTTACTGCACTGGTGATCTTCTCTTGCATTTGTTATTGCGTTTGGGATAAAAGAGTCAGATCATCTGAGTTTCAGATTGTCAGGCTACATCTGATTTGTTCACTGCATCCCATACTTCTCATCACATGTTGACCTCTTCATAATCCAGCCAACCAGCTGAAGAAGGAGAAAAGGTGAGCGTAAGCAACCTTGTCTGACACAGGTCTTCACTTGAAATAATTCTGTTAACTGCACTCCATACACGATTTTGCAGTTTAATCAATCATAAGAATTCTGTACGAAGGCAACAATCTTTTCATGTGTACCGTAGTGACTAACGTTTCATAAGGTTTCCCAAATCAAGCTGTCAAATGCTGTCTTGATTGTATTCTGCCAGCGCCTTGACTTTCTCTACTCTTGTTTGGCTTTTGTCTTTTGCTGTCTTCTTGTTCTTTTTGTCTTGAATCTCATCCAGAATATTCACATGATCCACTCCCTGTGATAGTAGCTTGCTTAGCCCAAAATATAATGATATTCTGAAGTTGAGGCTGCTGTAATATTTTTCCACTTTTTCTCCGGAATAGATTTCTATTCACTGAGGAGATTGTGAAAGACTTGGAACTTATTTCTGAGAGCTACCTTGAATTAAGAGAGTTTGCTCATATCCCAAAGAAAGGCAGTTTCACACTTTTCTATTGCAGTTTTTCCAGTTTTCCAACTGCTTTTTTAGTTTTATTCTCATCTTGGAAACCACCAAGTGATGGTCTGAAGATATGTCAGCTCCTCTCTTTCTTCATGTCTCTTCTATGATTCTCCTGAACTGTTCATTGATGCGGATGTCATCGATTCAGTTCTCTGTAATGTGATCCGCTGAACCCCATTTAGCGTTGTGTATGCGTTTGTTTGGGGAAATGGGCTCACTTATAACCAGTTTATTCAAGGCACACAGATTTATGAATCCGATACTGTTTACGTTCCTTCATTCCGGCTCATGATGTCCTCATATCCAGTGTTGTCCACTCCAACCTTAGCGTTTAGCTCACCATTAAAAACAATCAAATCTTTTGTTGGGCATTTCTCAACGTTTAAATACAACATTTCATAGTCTCTCATGCCTTCTTCATTGTTACCCTTAGTAGTTGCACAGCACTGAATGATACTCATCGTAATCACCTCGTTCTTTCTTTTGAAGGATGCTTTGATGATCCTGAGTTCATGTGACTCCCAACCTATAAGGGTCTTTTATACTTGTTTGGATAGCATCAGTGTAACTTCCTGTGTGTGTGAGGCATTTTCTTCTTCATGGTCCGAGTATAACAGCACCTCTCCTGAAGCTAATCTTTTCTGACCAGCTTGTGTTCAATAGTTTTCACTTATTCCAAGCACCTC